TGTGTGTGTGTGTGTGTGTGTGTGTGTGTGTGTGTCGGGGTGGGAGAAAGCTGAATAAAATCCTTTTGAGATGAATATACTTGCATCTATCAGTATCCACTCTTCTCCCAGCTCAGCTCTAAGGCTACCCTGTGAAATGGTGAAGGAGTAGGCAAGGAATTACCCAGCTCAATGTGAGAGTAGATGGAAAGGACCAGAAAAAACAAAAAACAAAAAAAAAACTAAAAAGCAGCCCCACTCCCTATAGCACCTACCTGCAGTCTCCTTTTGGCATCTGTCTTCCACTGCTGCTGCCATTCTGTCCCCACCTACACACACACACACACCCTAGGACCAGCCGTAGCCATTAGTGTTCCAGAGGGTTTCCAATCAATTTTTCAGTAGTCCCTCAATCCAACAACCTCCCCCCTGCCACAGGATATCCAGGTTGGGTTTGGGTAAAGGAGCTAGACATTTAAGTTAGGATGCTGTATTAGTTAGCTTTTCTTTGCATGACATTGCTATACATTTAGTGGCTCAAAACAGCATGCATTTATCATCTCATACTGTCTTCAGGTGAGGTCTGAGCACAGCTTAACTGGGTCCTCAGCAGCCAGCTATTAAGCTGTCAGCCAGGGCTAGGTTCTCGTGTGAAGATTATCCTAGAAATGATCCACTTCCAAGCACCAGGGGGTTGTTGGCAGCGTTTGGGTTCTTGCTGGCCACCCACAGTTCCTTGTCATGTGGGTCCCCCCCCCCCAACACCAACCCTTTTTATATCAAAGCCAGCAAGGAGTCTCCTAGCAAGAAGCATTAGAATCACGTGACCTTTGTCGTGTGCAATTGTTTAACAGTGAGTCACCGGTCCTACCCACGCTCAAGACGGATTACACAAGGGTGTGAATGATGGGAGCTACGCCGGATAACGGGGGCCAGAGAAGGGGTGCCTTCTTGTGGGGACTAAAAATCATTTTTCCCCAAAGTTTTTGAAAACCATTTCAAAAGATTTTGGCAGTAAAGTAACGTTATATTCTTGCTTTAGAATGATCCCTGACCAGAAAGTGAGCAGAATACACTGGTGGGAAAGAAAACTTGACTTAGGGACTTGGAGATAGACCGTGAAAAAGAAGAGTTGAGCATATTCTGGTTCTGGCTTTTGCAGAGGGGTTTGTGGGCAAACGACGAATGAAAGTCATTCGTCGAGATGAGGAAAGGCAGTTTAGAGGTTTTAGAGTTTGGTTAGTTAGAGGTTAGTGAAAGAATACAATAAAAGACTAACCACTCTCCCTTGGGCAAACAACCTCTTTTGATAAATTTCAATTAATTGTTATGGCTGCAAAGAATCTGCTGCTCCCACTTGTTGAAACTGGCCGAGTCTTTTCAACTCATCTATCTCACAGAAGTCAGTGTTCTGCATCACAAGCCGTCTATGGATGCAACGAACAGCGGTTTGGGGATACAACCCGCTGTTCCCCAAAATACACCTTTCACATTGTTTGAAGGCAAAGGGGGAGTTTGGGAGGACAAAAATACGGGGAAAGCCACATGCCCTCATATAATCTGACAGCTGAGTCGTCAGGGTTGAAGTCCTCAGCGGCCCTAAGCACTGCGCGGCGCTCCCACGAGGAGACAAAGCGCGGGTACCCGCCGACACGGCTCAGTCTCTCTGCGTCCGCGGTCTCCCCGGGGTGAATCCGACACGAGCGTTGCGGCCCGATACTCTCGCGAGAGGAAAGGAGACCACAGCTCCTTCGAGTCTCCCAGCCGCGCCACGTGTGCTCCCACCTGCTGAGAAAAGGAGTCCGGCAGCGCCCAGAGGCTTCTGGGATTCGTAGTTCCGGGGCTGGCTGAGGCCTGCCAGCCTTGCCCCGCTCCTTCTTACGCATGCGCGACTCCGAGCTGGCCCAAGAAGTTCGTAGCCTTTGTCAGGCCCGGGATGGGAGGTGAGTTGGACGCTCGCCTGCCGCTCTTCTCCGCCCAGCCTAGATGGTGGCCCCTGGGGCATCCTTTCGTGCCGAGTCGGGGCTGGAGTGCGCGTTTGTGGAAGGGGCCTCGAGGGAGGACCATGAGCCCCATCCCTTCGCGCTCCGGCCCGAATCCCTCCCGCGGTGCCGCCTCCCCGGGACGCGGGTGCGAGCGCGGTGCAGGCGGGGGCGCGACGGGCGGGGCGCGGGGCAGTCGCGGGGCTTCGGGGAGAGGTCGGAGCGCGGCGGGGTTTGTCTGCGCGCCTGCTACCTTGGCTGGACCCGTGCAGCCGCTCGGTGCCCCCAGGGACAGCTGCGAGCTGCAGGGACAGGCACCTGGCACCCAGCCTCAGGGATGCTCTCCCCGGGGTTTCCAGGTTCCAGCCTCGCGGCACCGAGCCAGGCTCGAGAGTGAGGAAGAAACCCGACCCGACCAGATCGAAACCTTTCAGCGGAGCCCCCCGAGGGAAGGCAGGAGGGAGGACGACGAGGCCACGGAGGCTTCTCACTGTTCGGCCCGGAGAAGTCTGAACTGGCGGGGGAGATCGGAACCGGGAGCAGGTGGTGATCATGGAGACCGATGTGCACGAGAAGAGAGGTGAGAGTTGCAGAAGTATTGAATTTGTGTTGTGGAAGGGCCAAATTCCTTCCTCCTGAAGGGAAATCAGTTGGCCTCACAGGAGGTGGCTCTTGGTTGAGAGTGCTGTCCGTCTCCTTTGTCTGGGGGACGGATGGCCTCTTTGAGTGAGCAGGGAGGGCTTGGTGTGGGATCCATCCCCCTTTCCTCTCCAGCTGGGCGCACAATGGACCCTTCAAAGCCACCCCCAAAGTCCGAACGGAATGTTAGCTTCTAAGGCGTGAACATAGCCTCGATTACTTTTTCTCCCACCTTCTTCTTCCCAGATGATTATGCCATCCTAGCCTCAATCATCGGTCTGAGAACTTAGCTTTTTGCTTGGCAAAAGTATTTCCCATACCTTTGATGCCTTTTTGTCTGGACAACAGCCCTATGATTTCAAAAAGCAAGTGATTTTTGTGTTACACAGGAGAAAACAGGCCTAGAAGTCCGTGACCGACTTCCAGTGCTACTAGAACAGTCTTTGTTGAAGTTTGGCTTCCTACATCAGAATTACATGCCCGGGTGCTTGTTAGATTTCTAGATCGCACCGCAGACTCAACTAACGATAATTATTTGGAGATGGGATACAGCAGTCTCCGGTTTTCGGTAAGCTTGCAGGATGCTTTTTGAAAACCGGTTGAGTCTGTTTTTCTGATAGGGACGTTCGGCTCAGGGATCAAACGGACTTATTTTGCTTCCGAGATCAGAGAGTGCCATCTTCCAGAATGTGTTATAATTGTAGCAATGCTTCTGGACGTTGGCCGTGACGCTGGAATCCTGGGTTGTTTGGGGCTCCCTTCTGTTACGGTGCTGGTAGGGAGCTTCATTCGTATGGTGGGGGGGGAATTTGGCTGATCGGAGTCACAAGATGGATCCAGGCCCCATCATCACTGCTTTCTTGCCCTTAGCTCTGTCTTCCCATGATGCTCCCCTTTCCCAAGAGCGGAGCACAGAAGAGGGGGAAGTGGCAGCTCTGCGACTCACAGCTAGATCCCAGGTGAGTGGGAGTCCCTCCCGATTATTGAAAACGCCGCCTAAAAAAAAAAAAAA